GGGCAAAGCCAAAACAAAAAAGAAATATCAAGCCATGTAAAGCTATGAAGAAAATTTAAATTTATGCAACTAAGTAAACCAATCTGAACAGGCAACAAAGTGTTTAAGTCCAACAACATAACATTACATAAAAGATAATGGAGATTATGGAGACACTTATGAATCTATGAATGAGCTTCATTATGGTAATATTAAATTGATAGGTTCTGGCCCTAGTATGAATTGCTGAATTATTATGGTGGTCATCTAATAGGACTGAAGCCCTTGAAACAACAGCTGATCTTCCCAGAGACCACCTCCTCCCTTCTTCTCCAACTCAGCCCAGGGTGCAGTTTCCTTTCACCTTTCCCACCACCACAGGGAAGACCCCAGTCAGCTCCTCAAGTATTTCTCAACATCCCCTCCAACTCCACCCATAGCAAAAGTCCATAAGAGCCTCAACTTTCTCTGTCTCAGGCCAGAGGATCTACCTGACCCAGTGGCCCTCGATCTTCTCTGTGTTTTTGGAGTTCATAAAGGCTTATTTTATCTTTCCTATCTCTTTACTCCATTGCCAAAAAACCTATCAGAAACATAGTAGGAAAGATTTCAGAGAAGGAAACGATTTCCCAGTTGATCAAATATATTTTGATAAGTGTGGACAACACTGACTTAATAACCCTGTATAAGCTCTTGGACTATAATAATTTAACTTCACAAGTTTACCACCACACACTGGGGATTCAAATTCAACCAACCACTTGAAATAAAAATACTTTTAGGAATATTCTGTCTTTGAGCATGAACACTAGGCTAACTCATTAACCGTTCCTGTCTGCTGTACTGATTTTGTTCTAAATACTAATAGACAAAACCCACAGGATATACAGGGAAATCCTAAGTGTGACTAATTTAAAATTCTCAATTATTGCTTTTCAAAAGGATTGGGCCCTTCATTTGCAAGTACAATATCACAGCATCAAATACACAGAAAAAATTCAGAGTTCGCCTTTCAGTTGTCTGCCTCTATCTTCATTCACGACCCTTGCCTGCTCTGTCTGCAGTGTTTCAGATACTGTACAGTGAGGCACTCTGTGACTCAGGGAGCATACCATAGCTACCAGAAGTTGTAAGGCCCTGAGCTTCTGAATTCAGCTTTCACTGACAGCTTTAATTCAGCTTTATCATTTCTTCTCAATGATAAGGAAATGCTATCTCATAGGTACGTAAGCCAGTCCCATAAATAATGCTCCATAAAGAAATGGCAAAAATACTCAAATCTCCAAGTGTAGCGTCTTCCACACACTATGTAACTGTTGTCCACGCACACACTGTTGTCCATGCACCGCTGTAATGTGATACAAGTGGAAAAGCAATATAAAAAGAACCTCATTTAAATAACAAATTTGTCAGCTATGCATGATGGTACACATCTCTAAGTGCAGCACTCTGGGAGTTTGAAGCAGGAGAATCTCAAATATGAGCCCAACCTGGGCAGCTTTGTGATTTAAGGAAGGCTCTGTCTCAAAATAAAAAATAAACAAAAAGGTTGAATATGCAACTGTGTGCAAAGCCCTGGGTTCAATCCCCGGCACCACTAAAATGGATTTAGTTGAAACTGTAAGAATGAACAATCTGTCTTCCAAAATAAGAAACACATGCAGGAGTTCCATCACAGACAACTAAGTGGCAGCAGTGGGAGGGAGAAGCTTCCAGACATGTGCATGGGATATAGGTTTACCAAAATGGGAGCGACGAAGAAAGCCTTTTACGGGAAGGTAAAACAGAAGATCCAATCATGGTATCAGCAGGATTCAGAAAGGGAGGCTCAGTTGTGCCAGATCTATGGAACCCCTTATGCCTCAGGTGCTTTTTATTTTCTTCTCTCTTGCTCTCTTTTTTATCCCTTTATCTCCCTTCTTCCATCTGGCACACATGTCTGCATTTGTGTGGAGGAGATTAAGAACTAATCATTGCTTCCATCTAAATGGTACTGCTCATGGTCAAGGCAGGCTGACTCTCACCAAAATCGAGCAGAGAGGAGCCAAATGCAGGTAAGTCAGCATGTGAACAGGTTCTGATATTCTCCCAGCTTCCCGCAACCTCCCACCACACTTCTCCATCACCAGCCTTTCTACAGCAACACCCAGAGAACTGCTGAATGTTTGAAGCAGCCCACAGATTCCACAGATGGATGGTTAAGGGAAATGTATATACAGTGGCACCTCAGTTCATGAAATTAATCTGTTCCACAATTTTGGAAAATATGGCCACATTTGTGTTTGTGTGGGAAAGATGGCCATGGTCATTGATAGGCTAGGACTGAAAGTTTCCCAGACACCCTACCCCAAACACTCCCCCTCTTGGTTTACAGGTGCCTTGCCACAAATACTTCCCCTCTTGGGGAGCAGAGCACAACCCCATCCCCACCCCATTCTGCACCCTGATCTCGGCTCACATCGTCTTGGCCCTACAGAAAACTACAGAAACATCGAAAGTCCCCCACAGACCAGGTAGCCTTGCCAAGATTAGCTCTCCCTCAGCTGTTCCAGCCCGCAAACACCCTCCCCACAAAACACCTTAAAAGCCCTGTGCCTTGCTTTGTTTGCTTGTGTTAGTCCGCTAGACAGTCAGCCCACTTGCTCCTGCCTCCAATAAATCTTCTCCTCACATCAGAATGCCTGGTCTGGTCAATTGCGTGGGTTCGTACCTAATAGCCATGTTTGTTACCCAATGTAGTTTGCAAACATGAACAAAATTTTGCCAAATGTTTTTGTGAACCAAACTGCTTACAAACCAAAGCATTCATGAACCAAGGTACCACTGTACACAAAATGATTACAACTCTGACATAAAGAAGGATAAATTTGAGTATTTGTAGGAAAATGTATGCACCTGAAATCACAGTGCTTGGTAAAACAAACCAGACACAGAAGCAGAAACATCACATGGTTTCTCTTATGCAAGAAAAACAATATACAAATAATTTAAAGAGAAAAATAATGAAGGTGGAGCAGTAAGCAGCAATGAATCAGCCTAAGATACTGGAAAATTAACATCTTGGTGAAGAAAAGGAGGTTAATTCCTGTGATCCAGGAAAAATCTAAAGGGAAAATTAGAGCCTACAAAGAAACTGAAGATCTAGGGCAATAGTTGAGTAGCTTAAGTGCCTGCCTGGAAAGTGCAAGGTGAAAGAGACAGCAAGTAAGAGAGTGAGAGGGAGAGTGAGAGTGAGAGCTAGGGAGGGAGAGAGGGAGAGACAGAAAAAAAGAGGGAGAGAGGGAGGGAGGGAGCAAGCGAGGGAGCAAGCAGGGACTCTGGCAACGTGGCTCAGATGCAAAAACAACTCTAAGCACAGTGAATTATCTTATCTATTGATGAAGAAGCCATACACTTTCACCGGAAAAAGATAGCTTCTTTAAAGAATGGTGCTGGAAAAACTGGCTTTCCACCTGCCAAAGATTAAAACTAGATCCATATCTCTCACCATGCATTAAGTCAACTAAAATAAAAATGGATCAAAAATCTAAAAAGAAAAACAGAAACAATCTGCTGAAAGTTATAGAATAGGAATAATTCTCAAAAAAAAGAGGTACAGGCAAAAACTAGGAAAGAAACCCTGACTGCACAAGAAATACTACAAAGAATCAATATCTGGGATATTAGATTTAAAAGGTTTTGCACAGCAAAAGAGACACCAAAGGTGAAGAGACAACCCAAAGAATGGGAAAAAACTTTACGAACTACTCCTCAGACATCATACTACCACCTAGTATAGAGAACTTTATGAACAGCAACCAGAACCCTGAAATTTCAAGACCCAATCCAAATGGGCATCTGAAATGAACAGGCACTTCTCAAGTGAAGATTCACTTCTCAAGTGAAGATGTACATCTAGCAAATAAATATATGAAAAAAATGTTCAACATCAATGGTCATGCAAGAAATGCAAACTGAAACAACACTGAGATTCCACCTCACTCCAGAAAGAATAGCTAACATTAAGAAATCAATAACAAATGCTAACACAGCTGTAGGGGAAAAGGAACCCTCTTCCACTCTTGGTAGAAGTATAAGTTGGTACAACCAGTACAGAAGTCAGTATGGAGATTCCTCAAAACAACTAAAGTCAAGATTTCATTTGACCCACATATGACCCTTCTAGGTATGTAGAAGAGTTAAAAGCATACCAGTACCACATGTATACCCATGTTCAATTTTAGTCTATGTACTACCAAACTGAGCACCATACCTATTGTCATAGTGGCACAAAGTTTGCTCAAGAGACTTGCAATTCTTCTTGATTCATAGGTCTTAATCCTTCAATTTTAATTCTCAGAACAGTATAAATTAAACATGCCAGAAAAGAATTGTGGGAGAATTTGTGTCAGTTCAAGAAAGGAAAGGCTTTATTACACCATCTGAAGCTGAGATCAAACAAAACAAATGTTCACTTTTTTATATGGAACACCAATCCCTAAGCAATAAGCCTAAAAAGAAATAGGCCAGTTCTGATTTTTATTTTCCTACCTATAGCTACACCATATAAAACAAATACTCACAGCTCTGGTATAAATTAATTTTACACATACCAAACACTGCATATTTATCATGTCAGACAAGCAATACAAAATGCAAAATAGTAATTTGAATGAAAAGTTCCAAATATCTAATTTTCAAGAATTAGAAAAAAAACACAACAAAATACTCTATCGAGTACTACTTTTCTTAAGACTATAAAATATGTTTATATAAATATAAAATTCACTTTCATCACACACATAATATACAATACAAACTAATGAATTGTACTAGAAATTCTTAATATTAAACATTTAAGCAACACATGTATACATAAATTTCTGTAATAAAGAATAATGCAACAACAACAAAAAAACCTGGCTGTATTATGTTAACTCAGTGTACAGTACTGGATTTATAACAACAAGGGCAATAATCAAAATGAACATTGATCAATCCCTGGTTCCACAAAAAAAAAAAAAAAAAAAAAAAAAGAATATTGAGGTCACTTTATGTAAGACAATGATCTTTAAAGGACGTTAAATACTTGCTTTTCATAAACATTTTTGGGTTTTGGCTTTGTAATAAATAAGTAATAAATATCTGCAGTATAGAATACACATCGAGAAACTTATCTTTCTCCATTTGAAAGTCTTTCTCCCGAGTCATAATGTGTTAGCGGCATCCCAGCAAGTGGGAAGTTCGGATTTTGCAGCAAGTCCATTAACAAAGCAATTTTATCATCTATGTGCTCCTGCAATTTATAGACTCGCTGGTCAATGTAGTCCATAAGTTTCTTTTCCATCAGTTCCATATTTTTAGAAAGAATCTTTTCCAAGTAGGAGCAAATGGGCTGTTCTTCTACTCTAAAAATAAATTTTAAAAAGTATATCAATTTTCTCTTTTTTAAATGTAGTTAGTACAGGGTCTACAGGGTCTCACTAAGCAGATCGGACTTGTAGTGATCCTCCCATTTTCAGCCTCTCAAGCTCTGGGATTACAGGCTCGTGCCACCATGCCCAGTCCCAATGACTATCTCAGTGTGCCCCGAGGGTGGAGCCAGCACAGCCTGCTGGGGATCAAACCCTGTTCCCAACACTGGCACTTTAGTCCGCTGAGCTATCTGGCCAGCCCTTCTGTACTTGTTATTTGTATACTGTCTCTGATGAAATGATTTTTTGTATCTCTTACTCATATTCTAACTAGATTATATTTTGTAAATGGTAAATTCTGTAAATTTCTTATATATTTAGATACATCATATACTGGGTATGTGATTTATGAATATTTTTTTCCCAGTTTGTACTATTCCCCCCCCCTTTACACTATAACCCTGTTTAAAATTTACCTTTTTCTTCCTTTTTGGGTGTGTGTGTGTGTGTGTGTGTGTGTGTGTGTGTGTAAGTAGTACTAGCAATTAAATGCAGGACCTGGGCTGGGGAAACAGCTCAGTGGCATAAGCGCCTGCCTGGCATGCGCAAGGTCCTGAGTTCGACCCAGGGCCTTCACATTGAGCTACATTTCCAGCCCTTTTTATTCTTATTTTGAGAAAGGGCCTTCTTAAGTCAGTAAGTTGCTCAGACCGTGCTTGAACTTGATCCTCCTGCTTCAGCTTCCCAGAGTGCTTGGATTATAAACATGTAACTCTATATACAAGATGTTATTTTAAATCCTTTTAAGCAAGACCTTCCACAAGCAAAAGTTCTGTATTTTCAAAAGGTCTATATACATACATCACTCTTTTGGGTGTCACATGTAAGAACATTTTTTGTAGTTCCCCAAAAGTTTCTCCCATAAATTAGAAAAGTTTTATAGTTTTATGTTTTACGTTTTAGTCTACTATGCATTTGGTGCTAATTTTCATATAATACATGAATTTCAGGTCGTGGTTCATATTTTGGCTATGGGATGTTCAATTACTCCAGCACCACATGTGCTGTGCCCTGCCCTGCCGGGCCCTAGCCTACTCATCTATGTATCTAGCCCTCTACCTCTATGAGTCTTCCACAGCTACTTGAGAAAAATGTGTATTCTGCCGTTACTGGTATCATCTTCTATAAATGGCAATGCAGCCTTTAGTGGTTGGCAGTGTTTAATATCAAACTAAGGCAACTACCCCATTTTCAGATGAAAACTGTAAGCTAAAAGCAAACAATCTAACAAAAAACAGTATGAATCAAAACTATCATCCAATTAATGAACTGCAATCTAGAGCACTATCCCGACACACTGTCTACTCCAACCCTTGTCTGAGGCTTGTAACCCTTCTGCAGAATTCCTAAGAAGTATGCAATATCTCCAGTTCTATGCACTTGTTCCAAGGCAGCCCACTGTAGTCCACAAAACAGCTGTTCCCGATAAATACACTTGTGGCAAAATGGAAGAGCTAACAAAATATTCTCTGGAAAGAGATTTTCAGACAATACTCACTGAAACTAGCCTGCTTCCTTTCCTCTGATTCTCTCTCCCACTGTATCTAAACTTCATCTTCATTGAAACGAAATACTTACGAAATGCCCACCACGCCTTCCCGGGGCTTGGAGGTACGCTCCTGCGACTTTGGATTAGGTCCCACTCGGAGATGGTTAACTTGACTGCATAAATTCTGAAGAAAAGGCAGCAGCTCAGAGTTGGGCATGTTGGAGCTGTCATTTGCTTTTTTTGGTAAGAAAGAAGACACTGCATTTTTAAGATCATTTTCAAGAAAGCAATGGTTTTGTGGCACAATTTTATACTCATCATGGTTTGTAGTATTTCCATCATCAGGTGGCTGTGTGCTTTTATCAATGAAAGCCTTTAAATTTTCACTCATGTTTGCAGAGGCCAATCCAGTTTTGAAAGGAAAACGTGTGGAGGACGACGTGTCTAAGAGTCCTGAAGTAGATGACTGTAGTGCAATCATGTGCGAGAATCCGGCAGTTCCCAAAACTGACTGAAGCTGTTCTCCAATGGAAATACAATTCTAAACAAGGTAAGTAAGTACATAAAGTTACCAGGACTGTTAATGCTATGAATTACAGATAACTTTGGGGGTAATTACTAGGAGTCAGCCACAGCGTATTATTTCAGCTGATTCTAAAAACACTCTCTTGAAATAGATTTTACTACTCAATAGAAATCTGAGGAGAAAGACCAAGGCAAAGGGGACCAGGCCAAGGTAACCAGCTACTCAATGATAGAACTGGGACATAAATCCAATGTAAGTCCACAGTCAACAGGTTTTAGTTATTTCCTACCAAAAAGACTGAGATAAATAATAGCATGCATAATATAATTTCACTGACATATTTTGATTTTTTACTTGAAAGGCCTCCTTAACTAATGGCAATAAAATGTAGTCTCAATTGAATGACAATAATTGATAATTTTCTTGAGGTTCCATATCATTCCTCAACTTTTTTTTTCCTAACATATTTAGTACAGAGTTTATAGGGTCTCACTACACAGATTGGACTCCTAGTGATCCTGTTTTCAGCCTCTCAAGCACTGGGATTACAAGTGTGTGCCACCACAGCCAGTCTCAATCAACATCTCAGCGCACCCTGGGGGTGGGGCCAGCAAGGCATACCAGAGATTGAACCCTGGTTCCTGCATCTGCCTAAGCAGGCACTTTAATCAACTGAGCTATCTGGCCAGTCCCATTCCTCAACTTTAAATGCTAAATTACTTATTTTTACTTGATCATATCTTTTGCAATGAGTTTTCATAGGGGCTACAGAGATAGCTACACATTTAAAGTGAGATGTTCAAGGCCAGCCTGATAGCTCAGTGGACTAAAGCGCGTGCTTAGGCAGAGTGCAGGGACAGGAGTAGGATCTGTGGCGTGCTGTGCTGGTCTTGACCCTGGGGCGTGCTGAGATGGCAATTGAGACAATTACCTTCTAATTTCCTCTGCATGTTTAAACTTCTTGAAAAAAAATCATACTTACTACCCCTACTTACTATGTCCCAAAGGCCCAGGTGCAACATAATCCTTTATAATCTGAATTACCACTCATCACTATGTAAACTGACTCCTGGAACTCTGAAGAAGGAGGGACGGTAAATTCAGTGGGCACATATATGCACACACACCTGGAGCCAGATAGGACAGAGAAGTCGGCTCACATGTATCTTATACTTTAGTGAGCTAAAGAGCAACCAACACGCATCCAACAAAGTGGTCAAAAGGCACAGGTGAAACTATGGTGTATATTTAGAGGGACAGATTCTTCTACTGAGTGTCTAGGGAAGTACTGGTACTAGATCAAAACTTGTAAGTACAATTTTCTCCTGGTACTAGGAATGGAAACAAAGGTCTCTGCACTGAGTTACATCATCAGACCTCCACCCCTTTTTTTACATTTTGAGAGTCCTGCTAAGTTCCCCAGGTAGGACTCAAACTTGCCTCCCAAGTGATGGGATTATAGATATGTGCTATCACCCCTGGTATAAGACTTTCATTGTTCTTTTATTTTTGTGGCATTTTTTTAATATTACAAATGTTTTAGAAAAAAATAAAAATAATAAAAGTCTCCAGCAAATTGGTCAAGCAACGACCGTGACTCATTCACATGGCTGATACTCACAAAGCATCTATAAACTGCAGTACAGGGTTTCAGGCTAAATCCTGAGGGGATCTGACTGACCTTGTCAGATACAAAAGTTACATTTCTTGTTATATAGGTATTGCTCTATCTTGGTCTTAACCATCTAGCAGAAAAGTATAAAAAGTAAAGCCATATTAATAGGCTGAACTGTAAAAGGCTCAAGTCAACAACTTTTGACACTGCCAGTCCTACCGAAAACCCACTACTATGATGGACTACTGGACTATATTGGAATATTTTGCTGAATTCACCCACCTACAATTTTTAAATGACAATGGCATATCCTTCTCTGACAAAATTAAACAAAAAAAGGGGATACAAATGAAGGACCATTTTGTATCTGTATATTCAAAATAGTTAGGATAGATGATATACAGTTACTTTCTCTTAATTCAATGAATAGAAAGATTTGTTCTAATAGTGTTTGTGGACAGGATATCCTGTCTGCATCTTGTACTATAAATAACCACTAAGGAGACAACAACATGCAATGTATTAATTATTTAAGCTATCCTACTAATCGGTTTTGAAACTCTCATTGCTATTTGTTTCTCAATAAAATTATTTTAAAAAATTTTAAACCTAAAAAAAATTATACTTTTCAGAAAGAATATGTTTTATATAATGACTTTTAATAAGCAAGACTTAAAAACTTCTAAGGATAATTTTATGGCTTAAAAACAGATTTAATATGGATTGTAACCAACATTTTTTATGCTTCAAATGTTCATAAAAATAGAAGTTGTAAATTAAAAAAAAAGAAAAATGAAAAAGTCTCAAATCAGGGTGGTAGGAGAATAATAACAATACGTTGCACATTGTCATCCTCACTGTAGTTTCTCTGGCACAAGTGTTACATTTGCATTATTTATAGTAAATTTTCTTTTCTTTTTTTGGCAGAACTGGGGTTTGAACTCAGGCCCTTGCACTTGCCAGGCCAGCACTTTTTCTACTGAGCTCTTTTTTTATATTAAACTTTCACACCAATCCCATGATCTTGACAGGACTATCATTTCTATTTTGTAGATGAGAATTCCTATCTAAACAATGACTGAACCTGCCAAAGGAGACAGAACTAATAAGCGACAAGAATTTGAAGCCACTTTGTCCGACACCAGATCTATCTCTTCTCGATGACACTGCTGTCTGCTGCTCTTCTGGGTTCCTTTCTTTCCCTGTATCCTCCAAAATGTAGCCACTCTCCTGGCTTCAGTCTCTCCCTTTACCATATTCCTACTTTGAGTATATTTCTCGAATCTCTCTTCCAGCTACTGAATGTTTATTCTACTTTCCCCCGTCCTGTGCTTCCAAATGCTGTTCCATCTTTCCAGGAATGGCTGATCCACAGCTAAATTCAATATTCCCAAAACTAAATTTTTCTTCCCCCAGTACCCTTTTCCTTTGGGAAGCAAATAGATTACTGCTACCACTCTCTTCAAACCCTTAATTTCACACGCGACTCTATTTTCTCCTATAATACCAACATCAGGTTAGTTGTCTAGTCCCAAAGGGATTCTTTTAGCATCTCCAAACCAAGCATCATGTTCTGTCTAAGCTTCGGCCTTATCAGCTCTCACCTAGATGTAGTTTCCTTTCCTTTGATTTACTATACAGATAGTACTGTATTAAAATCTTTTTAAAATGTACATCAAAAGCACTTACAAATTTTCACAGCATTTAAAGCTTGCTAGCTCCAATATACTTTAAACTTCCCTGTAACTATTCACTCCAGAAATAAAGACAGGCTATAGACTAAATGATCAGCTCTGATCCCTCAAAGATGCTTTGATTACTGAGAAGTTGCGTAATAAATACTGGCTGAATAAATGGGTGAGTGAATTCATGAAAAATTGTTAAGCTTTGTAGCCAAAACATTTTGTAGAGTAAGTACAAAATGTTACCTTTGCAAAACTAAAAGGTAATAATAAAAATTAAAAGAAAAGTTTAATATACTGCCTCTCCTTCTTAATGGCCAGCATTTTGAAACCTTGAAGAACTACAGTTCTACTTACCTGCTGCTGAAATCTAACCATATTCATCAGCTGCTGAGCTCCAGGTGACAACTTTGACCCCATGGATTCCATCATGGTTTGGACCTTGTCCAGGTCTATCCTTGATCCTAGAGCAGGAGAGGCTGGTGAAGAATTTGCCGAAATCGGTCTCATATGCACCACAACTCTACCGATGAACACACACTGCTTTTCACCAAAGGACAGCAACTATTATGAAACAAAAGAGTTCCCAGAAACAATAATGGCTTTTAAAACAATCATCTATACTCACATCTTGGTATTACCAGAGCAAGAATGAAGCACAGTGTTTAAGAAACTAAAAATTAACTTCAAATATATTTTTAAAAAGACTCAGAAAATTCTAATTTATCATGAAGCTCAGATGAACTAATTATATAAATGCTTTTGACTTTGTGTCAACTAAAAGATTATAAATAAAACAAGCAAATTAGAGTTTTACAAATGTAAAGTTTTACTTACTAATTTTTCTTTTTTTTGGGGGGGGGGCAGGGGAGCACCGGGGATTGAACTCAGGATCTTGTGTTGCCAGGTAAGCACTTCTGCCACTGAGCTACCTTCCCAGCCCTTACTTACTAAATTTGAGGGAATATAAACATACCAGTATGACACCTTAACAGCACAATTTGCTATATTATATAAAAAGTAAAGGTGTCCAGAAACTCAAACAGCACAGTATTTACTAAAATCCTAAATACAGTTTTTTCAGAAAAACTGTAAAAGAACATCAGGATAATTTACCATAGCTGGGCATTATACATAAAGTTAAGTTCAGGGATTACTACCCAACTCAATTAGCGTAAGGCCAGCTTGAAACCCAGCTCCTCTGGCTCCTATCCCAGCAGTTTCCTACTGTTGTTACTGCTGCTTTTTGGAGATTCTGGGGATGCAACTCAGGTCCTCATGCCTTCTAGTTAAGAGTTACACAACCCTATGCCCCACCATGTTTCACAGTCCATGTTTCTGAATCAAAAGACATGTTATGTGTAGTACACACAACAGCTTAGTAAAACGAAAAGTAACAGGTTTTAAATCAGACATTGCTGGATTTAAATTATGATTCTACTACTTAACAACCTGAATGACCCCAGGCAAATGCCAGAAAGGGTACCAATGACTTCTCATGGAGGATGATTATGTGTCAGTATCTATCACTGGTGGTGGGGGTTGGCTTAGTAGTAGAAAGCTTGCCTAGCAAGCTGGAAGCCCTGGGTTCAATCCTCGGCACCAAAAACAAAACAAATAAATAAAATAAAATAAACTTCTTCTATCATTGGCAAAAATCTATATTGGGCATATTTAGTTTTAACTTTCATATAGTAATATTGCCCCAGAACAAGCTTTCATATATACCCTAGGGATTCCCTAAATGAAATGAACCTTTGATCTTCCATAATGTAAGCACAAAATATATTCACCTTGACATACACATACAGATCATCTTATAAGCAGGTTAATAAATAATCAGGCTCCAAAAATTGTTTGGCACCAAAAATGTGACAAACCTTAACACATACTACAGTCATACCACACCTCTCAATCCCGCATTATTTCCCTTCTACTTTGTAATCCCTATCTCTTTATTGAATATAGTCCATATTTAACTCCTTGAGATTATTCATCATTTGTTGTTCCACTAGAATATAAGCAATATGAAGCAAATATTTCAATTTATGTTCTTGCTAAATCGTGTTCAGTGTGGTATCTAGAGTCAAGAGGCACTCAGATTTTTACTGAGTGAATGAATCACTTCATGTACACTGCTTTAGATGCTATTATTATTTATTAGCTAAAACAGTATTTTTGTAATACCCAGTTCTGTGTCTGCTTTTTTTTTTTTTTTTTAATGTATTTGGCACAGGGTCTCACTATGCAGCTTGGACTTGTAGAGATCCTCCTGTTTCAGCCTCTCTAGCACTGGGATTACAGGCACGCACCACCATGCCACCACCATGCCAGGGGGCGGGGCCTTGCGGCACATGGTACAGGGCATCACAGTCCCTGAGCTTGCCTAAGAAGGCACTTAGTCCACTAAGCTATCTCGTCAGCCCTGTTCGTTAACTGCTATAAGAATCACTTCATTTTATCTTACTCTAAAAGAAAAAGTCCATCTTCTATAAATTGACAATAAGTACAGATTTCAGAGATTAGATAAACCTAAGAATTTGCTCTTTTTCAGTATTTTAACTTTATTCATGAAGTAGAATTAAACAGGTAATTTTCCCAAAGACAATGTGCCCATCAGTAGTGAGCTGAATATTCACAACTCAGTACTCTTTCAACTCAGTACTCTAGTCCTAGACTTTCACATCATTAAAGTTCTCCTTAAAAGTATTTTTTATTTGGAAAAAAAAAACTTTTTTCATGCTGAAGATGATAGTCTAAATTCCTTTAGCATTTTAGTTCTCATGTCTGGAACATCTCATTCAATTCTTCTCTGATACCAAAGTGGCCAAAGTTTTGCTTACGGGCTTAATTTTTATTTTTAGAACCACAGTTTTATATTAAGATAAAATATGTCTTAGCTTGGTTTCCCAATGCTTCAAAGTAAAGCAATACTCTATTAACACAATATTTTCCTTACTTTAAATAGTCACATTTTAATTCAGTGTGAAAAGGATTGGTAATTATCAAAGAAGTAATTTTCTTTTACGTATTATTTTTGGAGTAAAACAAGGGAGCATGATGCACTAATTTTATAACCAGATTAGCAGAAAATAAGTACATATATAACAAAAACAACTTAGCTCTAATATATTGGTTAAAATTTGGTGGCGACTTACCTTTATTTTACATGCATGTGTTGAAGGTTCCAATTTTAAGTACTTTTTATACAAAATGATCTTATCATGTTCACTAGAAAGAAAAAAATTTAAAAACTCAATTGTTATCATTTTCAATAGTTACATTTAAAAATACATGTTTCCGGGGCCAAGGGAGATGGCTCAGTAGAATAAGCGCTTGCCTGGCAAGCGCAAGGGCCTGAGTTCAATCCCTGGTTCCACAAAAAAATAAATAAAAATAAAAAATAAAAACCAAAATATTCAATTTCTGGGGGCTGGGGAGATGGCTCAGTAGAATAAGCACTTCCCTGGCAAGCACAAGGGCCTGAGTTCAGTCCCCGGTTCCGGAAAAAAAAAAAAATACATGTTTCCAGGACAATACTTGAGATTCTCTCTTTCCTGCTGAAGAGGGAGGAGTCCGGCCCACTGCCTGGCAGGGCCACACCGCCCATCACTAGCTGTAGGTGAGAACACAATGAATACCCATCTCTGAAAAAACTAAACAAAAAAAGGGGATATAAATGAAGTACTATTGCATATCTGTATATATAAAATGGGATAGATATACAGCTACTTTCTCTTAATTCAATGAGAAGAAAGATTTGTACTAATAGTATTTGGACAGGATATCATGTCTGCATTTGTACTACAAATAACCACTATGAAGACAACAATACGCAATGTATTAACTATTGTAACTGTCCTAGTAACCTCTTTTGAAACTGTCTCTTTGGTATTTGTTTCTCAATAAAATAAAAAATAAAGAGAACACCATGAGACCACTTATGTACAGTCACGTAGCACAGAACATTTTTAAAGCTCAACTAACAGCTGTCAACAGCCATTATTTCTAACATACAGATGCTATAAAATAATTCAAATTTTGGGTTATATTAGAGAAAAACGGAAGAATCTCTGCAAGACAACAGGGAAAACATCATGGTTTTAATTTTATAATACGTCAGCAAGCTTATCAGCTGACAGGCAGCGGTGGCAGTCACAGGTTACTACACCATTCAGAACAGTATTCCTGGAAGAGAATGTCTTCGCTTTAGACAGACTCATTTTTCCAAGACGTGCACTGGAGTGAAGGAAACTAGAAACACTTATCAGGGCTTCACTCTACTAAAACTCTTCCACTAATTACCTGTGACCTCCTACCAATTCACCCCCACTAAATTAGCCACAAATTTATAAAAGTAAAAAGGTTTAACAGAGACTGTAAGACACCCAACAATCTAAGCTTCCAAGCTTCCGGGCACATTTTAACTTTTTACTCCGGAATCTCTAGCTGGCATCAATGTCAGGGAATCAAGCACTACCCCCAAAGCTGGGGAAAACAAAAACACGAATGCACAAGGACACTGCCGCCCGCACAAGCCACAAACCTGCTCTCCAGAATGCTGCAGACGCTGCTGCCCCTACTCGTGCCGCAGTACTCCTCTCCCACGTACACTTCCATGTTTCTTGCTGAACTTAAAAGGCCAACGCAATCGAGTTCTTCCTCTCCCTTCGGGTCTCCCCTCAGGTAAAGGAAACAGGGGCTCCCATCTTCGGGGCTCCGGCTGCTCTGCAAGCGCACCAGGCCGTGGCTGAGAGGAAGACCGAGAGAGACGTCAGACAGTGTGCTCCGCCGCGCAGGTCTCCAAGCCCGCTTACTCCTCCCTGCCTGCGCCTGCCCTGGAGACCCACCACCTTCTCAAACACCCAGAGGCTTAACACTGAACGCTCCAGGAGCGGGGACTCCGCGCACCGGGGCGCTCCCCTCTGCTTTCCTTTCATCGGGACCATTCTACTCGGCCCTCTGGGACTCAGCTGATTAAATACATTCCTTGGACGGCCACCGTGCGCGCGCGAAGGACGAGAGCGGATCTGCTAACACCAAGCAGCCGCGCTTCTCCACAGCCGGCGGGGCGTGTGCGTGCGTGCGGGCGGCAGGGCTCTGCTCGCTCCCGGGAGGAAAGCTCAGCAGTCGGCAGCCCCGGCGGGCACCCCGGCGGGCGCAGGGACACGCTTCCCACGCCAGGCTCCGGCCCCTCCGGGCCCTGCGCGCCGCGCCGCACCCGCGCCCCGCTGCCTCGCCCACTCCCCTCGCCCGCGTCCCCGAAGCCCCGCGGGCTCCACCCCGCAGTCCCAGCTCCGTGCCGGCATCCCGGCGTCCCGGGCCCGGAGCCCGTCCCCGCGCGGCCCGGTCCCCGTCACGGCTCCCCAGGAGCGCGGTTGTCACCGAGCTCAGCACCCCAGTCCCCTCCCTCCAGGCGCACCCTGGAGCAGGCGGCGCCAGAAGCTCCTCCCAGTCGACATTCTGGACCCCGAGCCGGGGCCGGGTGAGAAGGAGGCTCTGGCTCAGCGCCCCACTGGCGACATCCCACGAAGAAGCCAGCGTCGGGCGGTGGGTCAACCCCGCGTCCTCAGTCTGGGTCTCCATTCCGCCGCCTCTAACCCACGCCAAGACCGGAACCGCTTTTGCAGGTCTTCTGTTTCCGCCCGTGCAGCGTGGAATTGACGCAGGGCGACTTCCGGCCCGTGCAGTTTACACCCAGATCTGCGGCGTTAGGCTGCCACCGGGAGACCCGCAAGGGAAGATACGCATGCGCCTGCCGTGGGGCGTCTGGAAGGGCGTTCGAATTCCGCAGACAGGCGCGGAGGGGAGCGGGCACGTACTCTGACTGCCCGGCGGGCTTTCCGAGCCTTGAGACAGTGCAGTTTTGGGAGCTGGCTGTGCAAGACTGGAAAGAGTGTGTAGGGCGTTTGATTGGCTCTTGGGGGTGGATGGATGGAATGCCATCCATCAGTTTGTCTGGGGGACCCAGTCCTGAACTGGTGATCTCTGGCGTGGACGCCAGGGCCTTTGCGGCCTGCAGTCTGGAGCATTTGGGGATGGCGAGATTCAGGTTATTTTTTCTTTCCTACCTATTCAAACAGTAGAAGATAGTTGAGGTGGGAAGTGGAGGGTTGGTGGGCGTTGCTGGGCTGTGTCTAGGGCAGGGCTGCGTTTGTCCGCTCAGACCTTGCACACTGGCCCCGTGTATAGAAAGGTGGACATCAGAGTCCCGGAGTTGTGTTTAGATGGCATTGGTATAGGGGTGCTATGGGACATCCAGATAATCCAAATAATATAAAGGCAGTGTAACTGCTAACCTGCTAAACGTCCAACACGCAGAGTTTGTGTCCCCCCCAAATCGAAGATTGAATTCTAAGGAGCAGCAGAAGTTACCAGTATGAAATACTTGTCAAGGGAAAGGTAGCTTTTGTCTAAGACAGAAAAAAACCTAGAAGGTGGGTTGCCCAGGAGACCACTTCGCAAAGAAACCTTTTACAGCTAAGTCAGGAGGTGGGTAGGAAATGGTGAGATGGGTGTACTGGGGACAAAACTGTGGTCAACCAGTAAGATTACAAGCATAGTCGCTTGTAATATTGACCCAATGGGGAAGGAAGTTGTAGCAAGTGTGCTGGAGAGAACAAGGGCCTTTTCGGGAAGGGATGGGTGAAGGTCTTGGTCCCCCACTCAGCTGATGTCTGCTTAAAATAATATTCATTATTGTTTATCCCTGGGAAAGTAGGTGTACTCACTTCATGTTTGTCTTGAGGCTCAGCTGCCTAGAAACGCACATCCACCCATAGTTGTAATGTGTTCTCACCTTCTGCATTGACTCCTGCAGGGGCCTGGCCCTGTGTGACTTCCTAGGATACTATAATTGAATGTAATCTCTAGAAAATGAAGTTTTGCTCATCCATAATCTGATTTTGTCTCAGAACTTTATCATTCACTGCAAATTACATTTGAATTTTCCTTTTGCTTAAGGTCTCATTTGATATAGGTACCACCTGGCAAACAAAAAATGAACAGCATAACTTTTTACACTGTATTTACCAGTGTCATGGGCAGAAAAAGAGTGAATGTATTTTTCTCTAGCCACTGTATATTTAAAGTGAATTCACAGCAGAGAAAAACCCAACCAAACTTCTAATATAAACACTTGCCAAAGTTTTTAATTGTAAGATCCTAGTTTGCAAATCATTTTTAATACACCAGATTCATTCTATGTTGCCATTGTCAGTATTTCTAGTCTCTATTTCTGTTGGGTTTTTCCAGCACAGCAGAGAAGCAGAAGTAAAAGGAGAGAGGGGAGCCTTTACTGATTCTGAGGACAAGGAGAGGATCACAGGGAGATAGCCTGATCCTCTGACCTGCGACAAAAAGGAAGGCTGCGATTTTATGGCCGTTTGCTAGGGACAGAGTTTGAGAGGCAGGCTCAGTGACATGTAAGGAGCTGATTGGGGTCTCCCGTGTGGCAAGGGAAAGGTAAAAGGAAGTTGTATTTGGGGTGGGGGTATGAAGAAGAAGGTGGTCCCTGGGAAGACAAGCTGTTGTTTTGAGGATTTAGCTATGTTGAACCAGGGCCGTGATAATTTAGCAGTTTGTACTCAGGCCGGAACCTATCAATATCCTGCTTTCTCTGGTCGTAGGTTAACTTTGACTCATGTTAATATATGTGGACAGTCCAAAGGAAAATAGGCTTGGGCTGGGGGGGTAGCTTGGTCAAAGCGCCTGCCTGGCAAGCAGAGGATCAGAGTTCGATCCCCCGTACTGCATGCCATGCTGGCCCTGGAACCACAGGCACATTGTGATGGCCCCAACTGGCGTGGTGGCACACAAATATGATCCCAGTGCTGGGGAGGCTGAGGCAGGAGGAACACTATGAATCTGAACTGTGTAGTGAGACCTTGTCTCAAATTATAAAAAAGAAAATAGGCTTTTCATGAGCAAGAACAGTATTACCAATAAGACTGATAGATCAGAAATCAGAAAACCAGATTTCTGTGGTTTCCACTTCCTTTCAGTCCTATAGATTCAATAAGTCAGTAAACTCCTATACACACACACAGTGAAGTACTAGTCATTGAACTCAGGGCTTTTGCACTGAAGTACATCCCCATTTTGATACAGGGCATCGTTGGGACATCGTTACGTCTTTAAATTGCCCAGGCTGTGCTGGAACTTGGGATCCTCCCGATTAAGCCTGTCAGAGTGCTAGGACTACAGGCCCATGCCACTACACTCAGCTCTTCACTTCCAAGATAAAAATAGATAAAAATCCCCTTATCTTTTCTCATCTCTACTTTGCTGTGAAGCTCTCACTTCATCAGAACAATCCCAGGAGTCTCTGTACTAATCATTAGCCTGCATTCTCATTATCTACATATCAGGCTCCATTGCACTGCCCTTTGTCCCTTCTGGTGACTGATGTTGCTAACTGAATCATCTTCACCTTTACTCCTTCTTAAGGCAGCATGCAAAGTCCTTTGTACTCTGACAGAAGCCTGCGTCTTAGTCTTCTCTACCTGGAGTGGCATTTCAGTAGTTTTGAAAACTCTGTTTATTATTCAAATCTAAGCTTCCACTCTGCTACAGAACTGAACCAATTCCTCTGTAGGACGGTGCACCTTTTTAGACACTAAATCTCATGTGATTTCAAATTTTACCAGTTTATATATTTGTGTTCCCTACTGAAGTCGTGCTTGCTGAGATTAGGCATTATCTTTGTCAGTATGAAGTTAATAAGTTGAGATAAGCGTTATCTTGCAGCTTCATCACAAATTTATGAGTAGTGCAAAGCAGCAAAACTAGTAAATTTGATCTTAATACTGTGAGCCAGGCATGGTGGTGCATGTGTATAATCCCAATACTTAGGAGCCTAAAGCAGAAGGATTGCTGCTAGTTTGAGGCTAGCCTGGGCTACAAAGAAAGTTCAGATCCAGCCTGAACTAGACAGAGGGAAACCCTGTGTCAAAAAAAAAAAAAAAAAAAAAAAAAAACCCCAACAAGAAAAAGAACAATCTCCTTCCCCCACACACAAAATAACCAGCATCCTAAGTGCTAGGATTATAGGCATGGGACATTGCTCCTGGCCATTTACCTATTCGTAAAGAATCTACTTGTTTATTGCTATGTTATAGCTCAATATGACCCATAGAAGTGTATTTCAGAATGTTTTCAGCTGGGTGTGGTGACACATGCCTATAATCTCTACTGCTTGGGAGGCAAGGATGGGTATGTAACCGAGCTGAGTTAGAGACTAGTGCTGTCTGAAACAAAATCTTTCAAAATATGAGCCAATACATATTTGAAAGGTACATTTATGAAGAAAGTGACTTAGGGTAGTAAATTTCTTGAGCAACAATTTAGGCTATCTTAATTTTATTTTTTGCTTTTCTTTTTAGATCCTCTTAATTTTAAATTAAATTCTTTTATATATGCCCTTTTACCTAGGATTATACTTCCCAGCAAGGCAGATGTAGGAATTCCTACCACATTTATAATCATTGTTCTGGTTTCCAACATTGTTGACCTGTGTACAATTTTTAGTACACTTTTCTGAGAAAATGTAGTGATACTATAGAGGTCTGTAAACTCTAGTTGAGTCTGTGTTCACATTTAGATTACCGCCTGTGTGATACCTTCTTATCCTAAAGCTATAGTTGCAGTAAAGGATTAATTCAGGCAGACTAGGAGTCTCAAAGCTGCCTCTTAACAGATCCCAGAAGCTAATCTCTACACTACTGGAATATCCTTCCAAGTGAATGTATCATTGTATAAATCTAAATTGCCTTGGGCCCTTCCAGCTAGTTTATGAAAGGTCAAACCGAGGCAGCTGAACCCATGCAGAACCAAACACACTGACACAAGTAAAGCAAGTTTACTGGGAGCTTACTTGGAGGGCTGTCTCATGAACCAAGACAGCCCGAACAAAGGAGACTTTATAGGATCTTATAGGGAGGGTGACTGCAGGCTGGAACAGCCAGATCACAGGTGGACGTCATTTTTCTTCTTTGCAGTTTAATTCTGCTTAGGCCAGTGAGAAGTGAGCCAAGACTAGCATAGGTCAAGGGGAAGTGAGCCGAGACCAGAGTACAACAATACAAGGCAGGGTTGGGTTGGGGTTGGGGCGGGGTGCCCAGGAAACCAAGAGGAGTATTTGGGGCAGGGTACTCAGGAAATCTTGAGTTCTGACCTATCATTCCAGACTCTATTTGGTAGAAAAAGGGCAAAGGATCATCTGGTTACCTCCTGCTGAGCAGGGGCGTAGTGGGGCCATGAGTCTGGAGATGAGGGTGAGGTGTTGTCGTGGAAGGGGTCTCCTTGGAGTAAGGCCTGGTAGGAATAATCTGAGAGATGCATTTGGTTAAAATTTTGGGTTGTGAGTTTAGCTACTGTGTTGCAGACTAGGGTTACTAAGCAAGGCGTAAGAGGAGCATAACAGCCCTACCACTGGTCCCATGAGGGGGAAAAGCCATGTAAGTATGGAGCCCATGGGCTGTGTAACCCCCATTCTGAGGAGTCCATATGTTGGTATTGTTGTTCTCTAATCTCTTAATTCTTTGATCTTTTGGTGTATAATACCAGAATGGCTAACGTAATAGCAACATTCTTCTTTTTTAAAAAAGGCAAGTTCACCCTTTTTC